TTGAGCATCCTTTTATCCCATCTCGCGTTGTTCATTATTCACTATATGCTTGTACCAACATTAACAATCATATCATTTCATATTTAATAGTGCTTCAATTTGTTAAGATTTGCAAATGTTATGTGTACATCTAATTGATGCACTGTCCGTTCAGCCACGATGGGCGAAGTATATGGACATCTGAACCAGGCGACACACGGCACGTGCAGCGCACGCGCGAATACCACGCGACGCTAGGGATGATACATTCTGGTCTTTGTCATTTCGTTTTGACAACTAAATTCATTAATTGTTCCTGCGTGTGTGATAAATTATCTCACCATAAGAATATGTTATATCCATCTTACACTATTCGGCTCAACAAAGCGTTCTGGTTCGTCGTTCAAAATTTTAAAAGTAAAAAAAAAAGTCTTTTTTATGATTAAAAAGATGTCCGTAAAACTTTAAGCCATATATAAAACAACCTCCAATTTTTCATTAAAATAAAAAAAAAAAATCCGGAAACTTGGAAGTCTTTATCTAGGCCACACAGTGTGGGATTTTCTACATTAATTTGGTCAGTGGCTCAACCAGCACGCACAAGGTCTAGATAAGTCTAGAAGGTTCGGCTCCAAGGTTATTTTACGGGGGTTTCTGGTTTAATTCTATGGACAGGATGGGTTTATTTTTCTACATGAAGGGTCTAATGGAGGTCAATGTGTTTAGTAGAAAGTTATATATATATATATAATATATATATATATATATATATATATATATATATATATATATATATATATATATATATATATATACACGTGCAATGTATATACATGTAGTTTTCCTTTTCAAAATAGTACTATTTCCATGCATTTAGTCGTCAGAGCATGAGAAAAACAAAACCCTCGCCAATGGACTCGGTTATAAACGGTCAGTTGCCATGGGGCGAGATCCCGTACTGATAACCAATCATCTACCTTTGCTTTTTTTTGTTCGCCTAATCACTTTGAGCGCACTTTATTGTATTTGTATTGAAACAATCGTGCACATTTTGTTTATCAATGAAAGGGTGGATGCTGTAGTTTTAGTATGATATTTTATATAAGGTGGCAATGTTATACAACACTGTTTCGATTTACTTTATTCTTATTCTTTTTTCTGATTTATTTACTTTTTTATAATCCTTTTATAATTCTTTTTTTTTTCACAAAACTCTTGCAATTTAAATCGTTTGAATGAGATACTTGGCAATGTAGGTTACACATTTATATTTACATATAGGGCGTTTGAACTTATTTTTAAATAAAAGTGTGACTATATTTTAATCACAATAAGTAAATTCACATCACTTGTTTAAAAACATCCGCTAATTTGCTTCAACGACACATAAAAAGAGTTGTTTATAGAACGTTATATGAGGTATAGTATTATATTTATGTACACGATCCATTATAAGGACATTTTTTTGTACTTAGTTCAATCTCTCCCGCCCCCGCCCCCCACCCATTTCCAAATTCCCAATCACTGACCGATCAAGAGCTAACAGATCACATGACCATTTAAACCGACGAGCCGTAATGGCCGGCGCCCGTGTGGGCGGGAGGTATCGAGTGTACTTTAACCCTTTCAAGCTTGTTTACTCAGCGCTGGACGTGCTCGGGAAAAAATACCCCAATTAGTGCTCACACAAATTTGTCTCGCCATTAAAATAAATCTATTCTTAGAACCACGTGACTCTGAACTCCCGTCTTTTCTCAATCCGCCCACTGTCTACGACATTAACTTAGTTCGGTTAAACTTGGCTTGCATGTTGAAGATTTCGTTTCTCAGAACAGATGTTTTGATAAAAAGGTCAGCACACAATGCAGATCAGGATCCTAAAATGACCCTTTAAACTAGTGTGTATGTTTAGATATCCACACCGATTTCTAACAAAACATCTACTAGAGATTACACTGAATTTTCCTTTTAATAATTTCTAAAGTATGGGTTACTGGAATTGGTATGTAACGCCCTCAAAGCTATCCACGTCGTTCCCAAAATATTTTTTTAGTTTAGTATGAGGACGTAAGATTACACTACCTGGAGTGATTAGCTACCTGGATTGGTTGGCAGAGGCGTAACGGTCCATTCCGGCGCCCGGGGCGAACTATCAATGTTGCGCCACCCATTAAAACTTTGTTATTCTGATAATCACAATGGCAACCCCCCCCCCCCCCCCCACACACACACACAAATTCAGGAAATCAGTCTGTAGAGCCAAGTAGCAATCTATTTTCTCAAATTTGACCGTGTAGAATGAGCTTGTAATTTTTTCTATCCTGCTTGGCGCCCCCCCCCCCCCCTTTTGGGCCAGTGACCGGCATTGCCGCTCCACCCGCCCTCCCTTGCTACTCCTCTGTTGGTTGTGGTGTAGGTAGAAATTTGAAGAAGCGTATTTTGTGTATATTTTCCCTTAGGATTATTTTAAGCGTGTGTTAGGGTTGGGGGGATGCTTTTGTTAATTTATCCTAAGACGAGAGGAAGTCTGTCTTTTTATAATCATGTGCGAAGAAGAGGGTGGGATAAAAATAGCTTGCCGTCAATTAGGCCTATATAAGTCCAAATACATTGACATCAAAAGTAACATCAACTATGGACATCACAACGTAAAATCAACCACGGAAGTCTATATGCCATCACATCATAACCTAAAATTAGCCATAAACGACTATCTACGTCCACATCATAACCAAACAATCACAGGTAAATCACAGGTAAATCACAGGTAAATCCACCCAAGTGGCAGACAGGCAGACTCACCCAGGTGAACCTGCCGCAGGGTTTTGATACCTGTCAACACAGACTTCCGTTTTAAAAAAAAACTATTTCAGGACAACAGCACTCACGCTCAACATAAACACAGATGCGCGCGTGCACTGACTCAGGTCTCCTAATAAACTCTCACCTAGGGTAACCTTTTTTTTCGCGTGCCTGCATTTTGTGATCTACAAAAACAGGTTATAGTTATGTTTGACGTACATTACACCGTGAAAGTATCTTACGCTACAGTTAGGTTTAATGTGCACTTCAGTTATACTGTAGTATCATACGTTACATTAACGTTTGATGAACACTAAACAGTTCTAGAATCTTACGTTATTGCTAACTTCGACGCACGCCTTACCGTTCTAGTATCTTACGTTACAGCTTGATTTGATGTACTCTATGTCCTACGTTACGGGTAGGCTTGACGCACACTATACAGTACTAGTATCCTTAACAAAGATCGCCGACATGAATTTAAGAGCTAATAATAGTAATATTACGGCAGAATTGAACACGACAAGTTCTGTCTTGATCCTTGCATTAAACTGGCGGTTTTGACCCCTGCACGACCACAACAGTTTTGACCCCTGCTGCAGTTTCTAGCAATCTTGATCCCAACACGATCCGGGCAGTCTCGACCCCCCCCCCCCCCCCCACAAAATCCCGACAGACCTGATCAGTTTTAACAATTGTGCGACCCTGCAGGTCCCCGCACCTCACGACCCTGTAAGACCCCACCCCTAACCACCCTGTCAGTCCCCAAACCCTCCTCAACCTTGACTAGTGCAGTGAGGTGATCAGATTTTATCAAAACTATTTCTATTCAGTTTTTATCTCCGTCGGGAGCAAGCGAAGTGGTAAAAAGCCAGGTGTCAGCTTAGTTTATTTATAGTTTATTTATAGTTTAATAGCCAGCCAAGAGCAAATGGCTTGACGCCCCTGGGCATTAAAAAAAAAAAAAAATCTCATCTAGTTATTGTCTGCATAAAAAAATAAAATAAAAGACTTTGGGTGAAATTTTTGTCGAGCTAGATATATTTTATTACATTCAATAAAATCTCTGTATGTATGTTTTTCCTGAGTAGGTGAATCTCGATTTCTAAGTACCGCAACCCGTCTAGAAAACTCCGGAATGAAAAGAGTGCAGCCCCTTTGGCGATAGAATTAACAACTTTGGTTTTCCTTTCGGTAGCTTCTACAAGCGGTGTTAATACCAAACCACGCTGGCCAAGGTTTAGAGAGGAATTACAGGCATAGGCAAACAATGGTTTCTTCATCTAAGGCATTTCTAAGGCACTATATTAGGTCCACTGGGGATTTTACCTCTCTGATCGCATCCATTGTCTTTAAATGCGAAATGGAGCCACAAACACACACACACACACACACACACATATATATATATATATATATATATATATATATATATATATATATATATATATATATATATATATATATATATATATATATATATATATATATATATATATAAATATATATATATAAAATGAAATGTAGGCATGCCAACTCAGCATCCGATCGAGGGTTTTTTCTGGTATAGCCTGATAATTTTATGCAATGTATGGCTATGATTAATATTAGGGATAGATATATGGTTGGAGCCAAGATTAGGATCACGACTAGTGTTTGGGTCGTAGTGCATCGAAACAAAAAATAAGATAACTTCGATACTTGTATTGTTTTTGCGACGATACCGATAATAAAATATATGGGACACTTCTTGCTAGTGTTATAATGTGTATTGTTGGTGTGATGGTTTATGTACCGATAATAAAAATATATTGGATACTTTAGCTAGCGTTCACCTAAATACCCAAACTGACCAGGTGTTATAACCTACCTGCGCATTTACCGCCAAGTTATAATGTGTATTGTTGGTGTGATGGTTTATGTAACGATAATAAAAAACAATATATTGGAAACTTCTTGTTAGCGTTCACCAAAGTACCCAAATTGACCAGGTGTATTGAACCTACCTGCGCATTTACCGCCAAGTTATGTGTATTGTTTGTGTGATGGTCTATGTACCGATAATAAAAATATATTGGATACTTTAGCTAGCGTTCACCTAAGTACCCAAACTGACCAGGTGTATTGAACCTACCTGCGCATTCACCGCCAAGCTATGTGTATTGTTTGTGTGATGGTCTATGTACCGATAATAAAAAAAATATATTAGATACTTCTTGCTAGCGTTCACCTAAGGACCCAAACTGACCAGGTGTGTTTGAACCTACCTGCGCCTTGACCGCCGCCAGCAGAAGATTAGCCAGACGTATCTCGTTACGCTTCCGGCACATCTCTAGCTGTGCCTCGTACACGGTGGTGTACTGGTGCCGGGCCAGGTTCCTGGGTGGGGGCAGATGGACAGGGGGGAGGGGAACGTAGGTTAGTAAACATGCAGACAGTCACAACATTGGTTTATGCAGTTAATGTTATATGCAAGATTAAGATAACATATCAAAATAATAACTTATTTCAGTTTTAAAATGCAATAATAATTAATAATATGCAAATCCATATGTATTATATATATATATATATATATATATATATATATATATATATATATATTATATATATATATATATATATATATATATATATATATATATATATATATATATATATATATATATATATATATATATATATATATATATATGTATATGTATATAATATGTATAAGTATATATATGTATATATATATATATGTATATATATATATATGTATATATATATATATGTATATATATATATATGTATATATATATATATGTATATATATATATATGTATATATATATGTATATATATATATATATATATATATATATATATATATATATATATATATATATATATATATATATATATATATATATACTAGCAGTCCCGGCTAGGTGCCGCCCTGGCTTTTAAGATAAATATATCAGCTTTGTATAAGGTCAATGTATTGATTCGCGTTTAACCACCATTTGAAAAAAAATACATTCAATAATGGGAAAAATGTTCAAGGTGTAGAATTTTACTGTAGGAATATCACTATCTTATTGGGCATGAATGTAAATCGTTTCATCTTATTAGTTTCCCATGCTACGAATAATTACTTCAATACATACACGATTGTTTTCACAAACATAGCGATAGCAGAGAGTCAGTATATGTACAAACCAATAAAATCAATCATCATCGCCATTTGGACGAAGAACTGACTCTAGAAATTAGAAATGTTGAATATTTCGTATTTAATACAGTGTCTTTACAATTGTGTATACAGCATAAATTAGAGTCTTGAGTTTTTTCAAACCAGGTACTGAAACAAAAAAACTACCAGCAACCCAAATCTTAACTTGTCATACACTAAATGTTTACAACTTGGTTTTATAAAACTAAACTTTCCTTTCTCAATGTGGTTTAACACTAAGGAATCAAATTTAAACTAAAAAAAAAAGAAACTAATCCCCATTCTCTTGAAAACTCAGTCATAACACATGTCACTATAACACCATAAAACCAAAGTTAGAACAAGAGTTAACTCTACTTCATCTGAAACATGTATCAGGAGGTCTAAAAAGTACTGTACGCTCCTTTATTTTGAATGTTAGACATCTAATGAGTTGTTTCTGTATCAAAGTTTAAGAAACGTGAACGCTATTACTACTCTTATTTATGGCGCTGTTCTATGTTTTTTTTTAAATAAAAGAAACCACTTGTATATAGAGTGTCACAAACGAAAACATAATGTATATCAAATGCGTTTAATCAAATATACAAAATGTTCACATTCAGTTATTAGGATTAGAACGAAAACAAATGAAGTAGGGCATGGCAATAGGGCTGGTAAGTAGGTCACCCATCAGTTCTATGGCTCATGCAGGTTTTATTGAGCCGTAGAACTGGTTTGTGACCTACTTACCAGCCCTAGATCTGGACGTCCGAAATATCTAACAGTATAATAACCATGATGTAAACTAAAATAAGCCAAAAACATTAACTGAACCCAGACGATTTCACTGGTAGCGATACGCTTTACAAGAGCTTTGCATTCAGCATATCTGTCTCTTGGTATATCTTAACAGTTAAGTAATCTAACAATATAGCACATTGTATGGTTAAAGATTAGGGTTAGGGTTAATCCAGAAGCACACGAGGTCGATCAAGTTAGTGTGGGCCAGAGCGTGCAACGTGACTCATCTTACCGGCTCGCTAGAAGCGTCATCCAGTGACTGACTCCGGCCCTCTTTTTTCTTAGACTTGGTGCTGCCCTTAGAGCTTATCGAGCGTCGAATCTTCAGACTCAGCTTCCGACCTTTGCCCTCGCCGTCCGAATTATCCATCGGTAAATCCAGTGTGAGAGGATTAACGTTAGATGGGATAAACTATACAGTTGGCGGATTTGTCCGATAGAATATAGTTGCTTGCATGTGCCTTCAGCAGTCAATGTTGATCTAGCACTTTTTTTTAGTTAGAAGAACTGCCCGCAAATCCTTTACGAAGAACAAATAATTTTTACACTATCCAATCCTTTAGAAGTTAATCTTTAAAGTATCCAATCCCTTCGTTAAGAAATTAAATCTTTAAAAAGTATGAATTCCTTTACGAATGAAAATAAATCTTTATAGTGTAGAGCAGCAATGTTAAACACTGTCCAGTCCTTTTTTAAAAGAATTAATAGTTACAATTAACAGACTGGCTCCTACGGTTTGTAAGAAGGAACTTAAATTCAAAACTTTAGGAGAGAAAGTAAAAAAAAAACACTGAATACGAATTTTCCCAACAAAGTGCACAATATTTTTATTTTATATTTGCACGTTGAATTCGAATAACAAATATCGTCTTCAACGATACTTATCGCCCCTTATTTTTTAAAGGTTTAATTAACTTAGGTTTAAAATTTTAGATTTATTATTCGGATAGGTCTAGAGTTTACGTTAGAGTTTAACTAATGCAAAGAGTGGAATTGAAGCTAATTGTATAGCTAGGTAAAGGGTTACAGTTTTTTTTTATCGACGATATTTACAACAGAATACGGCGGTACGGCTAACGGAAATGTACTGAATGAAAACATGTTGTTGTGTATTTTACGGCAGGAGAGGGGGGGGGGGGGGGAGAAATAAAAGTTTCGATGGGATTTCTGTTGCCGTGTAACGTACACAAATAACAGACGAGCCGGTCTGGGACTCCGAACCTTAAGTCTTAATTTTACGATTATAACTGTCTCCGGCAGATGTACAGGGGGATTTGTAACTGTCAAAATGGAGGCCTGTGGGGGGAGGGGTGTACGCTGGGTGGTAAACAAATATAAAATAAAAGGTGAGGGTGGTGAATATGTGGGGTGGGGAGAGAATGAGGGTTCAACGACTAGGTATTTGTTTGGGTGTGTGGGGGTGGGGGGTGTGGGGGAGGTGGTAGAGGAGAGAATGAGGGTTCAGAGACTACGGGTGTGGTTGGGTGTGTGTGGGGTGTGTGTGGGGGAGAGGGTTGGGGAGAGAGTGGAGGAGAGAATGAGGGTTCAGTGTGACTAGGTGTGTGTGGGGTGTGGGAGAGGGGGAGGGGGTGGAGGAGTTTAGGCTGTGTGGGGTGGAGAAAGGCGGAACGTGAAATAATGGAAACTTACAAGGATTTGTTTACTAACTCTGAGTTGTGGGTCAGGGGAGAGAACTCGTGGCTAGTTGTTGTGGTCAGCGGCCACAGGTCCGGGGAGATGTGACCTCACAGTTTTATGGTCGCTCGACACGCAATGGCCGAGTTCTGGTTTTTTAAACGATCCAACTCTCTCCGTTAACACGATCGTAATTTGAGAAAAACACAGCGATATATTTTAATAGTACAACAGATTCGAACTTTAGATCTCCGTATAAAAAAAACATCAGGATAATATTTGAATAAAAAAAGCTTTTAATAAATAAGTTTGTAAATGCACTAAAATAGAAAACCAAAATTCTTTTTCTTTTATAGTTGATTGTCATTATTATTGAGATAACATCCTTTTATTAAAAAAACTAAAACACTAAGAATTATTTTTTAAATTAAAGAGCCTATGCAAAAAGTACTTTATTGGTCACATGTTTGTGAAAATCAAACCAAGTTATGCCGTGTCTCTGCTAGAATGACTTCAACTGATGTTTTCATAATATTGCTGAAGTATTGTATACGTCCCTCTTTAAAACAACCATATAAGATAAAACGGTATGTTTTGAAACCAGTTCGAATTCGAGACCTGTTATCTTAATATATATATATTTTTTTTATTTTTCGACTTAAGTACTTTAAGCATTGAGGTCTTCATTTTTTAATAAACTTTCGAGTTAAAATAATTAATTTTAGAAATGTTACCCCAACCTCCTTTCTCCCCAGCTACGCCCCTGAATTCCTTTAAATTCTTTTTACCACACAAAAATTTAAATCGTGTCACGTTCAATCAGAAGTGCTTCACAAACAAAACAAAAAATACGTAGGAGTTAATTAGTCTACTAATTAAATTTTAAGGTAATTAGAATTTTTCGTTCCAGATAAAAATCCACTATTAAACATTTTAGACTTAATTTATGTCCGCTAGAAAGTTTTAATGTCTTCATATTAAATTAAAACGTCGCTCATTATATAAACACACACACACACACACACACACACACACACACATATATATATATATATATATATATATATATATATATATATATATATATATATATATATATATATATATATATATATATATAATTATATATATATAATTATATTTATATTTATATATATAATTTTATATATATATATATATATATATATATATATATATATATATATATATATATATATATATAATTTTATATATATATATATATACACACTACTGTTTGCGGTATGTAGTACTCGGACTGTATCGGAAGTAGTGGTTATACGAGTTGAATTTTGTGAAGGTTGTAATGGCTCGGACTATCTGTTGACGATTGCTGGGATTGGAATAGGGTTGGTTATATGTGGTTGACCAAATGTGGTTGACTGAATGTGCTTAATGTGACTGTCTAGATGTGGTTGATGTGACTGCCAAGATTTGGTTCACTAAGTGTTGTTACCTGAAAGTGGTTGGTGAAATGAGGTTTCCTGATAGTGGTTGGTATAATGTAGTTGACTAAAATGTTGTTGACTCATTTAATTTTGTTGACTAAAAGTGGTTGTCTTAATATGATTGACTGAATGTGACTGACTGACTGGTTGATTTAATGTGGTTGATTACATGTGATTGACTTTGATTGAGATAAGAATATGTTGCCCGGCTCTACATGCCTGTGTGATGACTACCAACTACTAAAACATCCTGACACGACATTTTTTAACATCAGCCCC